CAAAAATTCTTTCCCTCAACACATTCTAGAGAATCAATCTTGGAAAACAACTCAGGTTTCCTTCTCTACAATAATGGATTTGATACTTAAGAGTATTTTCAGTTCTTCAAAAACAAAATCCATACTACTACTTTTCTGCTGAATCCAAGAAAACAATTTACTGAGCATAACGTGAAATCCACTCTTGCCATTGACTCGAACCATTTGTGTCATTAAATTCCAATAGCAAATAGTAGAAGACAAGTAACTGACATTCTTAAAGGACTCATTTAAATTCACTAAATTTGGTTTGTTATCCTTCATACAACTTAAAGTATGAGTGAGGACTTACTGGCCTATTACTTGGTAACTAAACTTCCTTGGATACAGAGTCCAAGAAAGAAGCAGAAAAATCCTATAAAAAATTTCTTCCTATAATGAATAATTTTACGGCACATTTCCAGAATTTAAGTTTTTAAAAATACGGATTTCCTACTGAGTCAACTAATCAGCTCATCTCCTCTTCAGAGTAGGACCTGACCTTTATGTTTTCAAAGTACTCTGCTGCAAAACAGGTAGTCAGAAATCCAAATCCTGTATTCAAATGTGGTTCCTATGCCTAACATTTAAATTTTCTTTCATTTACCATCAAGATGTATTTTCCCCACATTAAAACAGGCATGACAGTCCTTTACGAATAGCATTCCTTGACTCCAAAATAATAAACTGTTTTAAATGTCTTATGTATTAATTTTTGCCAGATAAAACTCTAGAATCACAAATTACATTTCTGATAAGACCAAACATTCACTTTAAATACCCTCTTCTCACCAACACCCACCCAGACCCAAAATCGGATGTTAGCTATGAGCCTGCAGTTTCTAATCTGAGTTATCATTCTCAACTATGTTAGTTTCGGACTTCCTATTTTAGTCTAGTCACTGGTGGCGCAGTGGTCAAGAGCTCGGCTGCTAACCAAAAGGTCAGCAGTTTGAATCCACCAGCTGCTCCTCGGAAACCCTATGGGGTAGTTCTACTCTGACCTGTACAGTCGCTCAGAGTTGGAATCGACTCGATGGCAATGGGTTTTTTTTTTTTAATTTTAGTCTCAAATGCTGTTTTTGTATTTATGTTTCTTTTTTAAGGTATTTTAAGAATACGAGCACCACCAAGTCCAATTAAGTGCAAATGAAGCGGCAGTGTTTTGAAATTGCTAATAAGAAGAGTTATGCACAGAGGTACAATCAACAGAAAGAGGTGGAACAACTTTGAGGTACAATCAACAGAAAGAGGTGGAACAACTTTACATAAGTCAGTCTACAATATTTAAGATGCATGTAATACCAATACGTGAGATGTATTATATCTACTACAGTAATCTGAACTATAAGTGACCTCTAGGGCAAGGATCTCAACTCTATTTCAAACACCAAATTGCTAAAGGAAACCTTAAAGCAAAGTTAAATTTTTAACGCAGAAAAGCTCTCCTGTTGCTCACCTTTTAGACAGAACCCTCACTGTTGGCAGCTAGATATAATGAAGAAAAAGGAAAATAAATAAATACATAAAAGGTCAGGCTTTAGAACCAGGAAGACATGGATTTGAACTCTAGTGTACCACTCCTTGGGACATAAACTTTCTGAACCTATTTTTTCATCTCTAAAAAATGAATATTAATACCCTCCTTGCAGGATTGTTATACTGATTAGTGAAAACACATGCATAGCAACTAGTCCACAGTAGGAACTGAAGAAACTTTATTACTATTTTTATTACTCAAAAGCACATCCACCAGACAGGATACAAGAAAGGACAGGAGAGGAAAATAAATCAGAGCCTCGGTTGCCTTTAACTGCTAAAACAAAATAAAACCGAAACAAATACCCTGATTATTCAAGTGAAACTTAGGGCTAAACCTTTTGCTCACATTTTATATATACAAGATGCTACTGTATGTAGCTCCTCTTTATAAAATCCAAAATTAGCTACAAATCTAGTTATTTTGGAGCTAAATAAAAATGAAAGACTATTAACACACAGTAAAGCGGATAATTTTATGAACAAGTTAGACGGTTTCACCACTGGGGAAAAAAACCAAAACTAAGATACAAAAGTGCTTATGAAAGGAGAGTAAAAGACTCCTACCTTTAAACCAACTGCTATAAGATCTGTAACAACACTGTATGGAAAAAGTAAAAAGAGAAAATGGAAAATAAAGTTTTTTAAAGACAGAGATAATAAGATTAAAGAAGAAAAAGCATTGTACAAATGTAAAGAATAAAGATAAGAATGCGATGAGTCGTGAAATGTTAATACAAAGAAAAGTGATGCGACAGGCTAGTAACAGCAGAGTATAAAGCAAAGTCTTAACAACATTGTAAGAAACAAGTCAAGTCTCTTTTAATATTCAGAAAATTTAGAAAAATAGTTGTGCTTACATAAAATATAAGGCAGTATCTGTTTATCCACCTACCTCTATTAAACAAATCCAAATCACAACTTAAAATCATCAAAGTTCTTTCTTTCAAATCACTGGTATGAATTATCCTGTCTAAAGTTTCAAATGAAACAAAACCAGCGCTTGGATTTTATAGAAATAGAAGGCATCTTACAGATCTGCATCAACCACTCAAAACTGCTCACCAAAATAGTTAAGACAGCTCTCAGAACTAAAATAAAAAAATTCTACCAAGTTAAAACTGCGTTTAAATGTAAATTATCTTTTAGGAGGAAAAGAGCTTATAAACACAAAAAAAACTTGGGATTTGAGGAACTACAATGACACGTTGACTGGTGGCTTGTTGTTTGTTTTTTAACTGTCCAAAAATAAAGACACAGAACCTTCTGCAGGCTGTGGGAAAATGTGGAAATCTAATTAGTCGCCTAAAGGCAAAACTTCACAGTGTTCAACACCACACCCCTTAAGACCAGGGTGTAAAACCCCTATAAAGTCCTGCCATACAAAAATCAATTCCTTCTAACACCAAAGAAGCTGGCTTCAACTAATGTTTTGTCTCCATACCTCCTAAAAAAAGACTATAGCTAAATTCCACAAGGTGTTAATAACCTATGTGATCACTGTTTCATAAAAGCAACCAAATATATGACTGGATTGTTTAATTTTGTAAATTGTTTTAAGCAATAACCATTAGATTTTTTTGTTTTTCCTTGTAGGCTTTTGAAACTTGAAATCTGCCTAAAAATACGTAAATACCTCTGGTGTTCTTTTTGCATAAATAATAAGATTGTGTAATACTGTGGTTACTGGTCCTGATGTAAAGAGCAAATCATGTTACTACTTGAACTTCCAATATCTGTATCACTACCCACATATTTAAACCAATAAACTCATTCTTAGCTCTAAAACCACAAATGGGAGAGAGGGCTAACTTCTTAAACACTACCAAAAAGACTAAGTTTGCCAGTTGTCCAAGAGTAAAAGCCAAGACACATAACTCAAGAGTATTCTTTACTATAAACTTTTTGATACAAAACATCTCCAATCAAACCATGTAATAATTTACTATACATAACGAAATGCTCACTTCAGCCATCCTAAACTGAATATTGACATAACTTCACAAATAATTAAAATAGCAGAAGTTTGCACAAATATAAAATTAATTGAATAAGGTAATATGAAACGAGTTTTCAACAATGCTTCTAGAAAACCTTCAGTCAAACAATACAGTTCCAATTAGACAATAAATTAAAGAACAGTATCACAATAAATAAAATCTAAAAATTGTATCTTTCCTGATGTCTGTAGCAGTGTGCAATACGTATTCAAATGAGTTAATCCAATGTATCGTATAGACTTAATACGGTAAAACTAAGATAAATGAAATGTAATGAGTGCAAAACTTACTGGAAGATATCAACTCTTTACACAGCCTAACCATCATGAACTATATGGCAAAATGTAAACAGCTTTTACTGTTCAAGGAAGTCCTATATATTCTGTAATCAAGAGGTTTACAGAAATTTTGTCCTCAAAAATTACAACAGGCAAAACAAAACCTCAAATGTAAAACTGGAATAAACGGATTTGCAGTCTCTCAGAAAGCTGGGGTTTTTTTTTTAATCTTGATGTACACATACTGCAACCTTCAATTAATCTCAAACTCCTAATCTACTAGTTGCTCCTTAAATGATTAAAATATCTACCCCATATCTGGGTCTGCAAAAAAATATACGTATCATTGATTTTATATATATACATATATATATATATATACATATATACACACATATATATATACTTTTGAGGGGGAGGGGTGACAGACTGCTTTAAATTTCTGGGCGTTTAAAGGCCGCCCGAAAATTGCACTTAAGCAATATTTTGCATACATGGCAGAGGATTCACGAAGTTTCTTAACGGGAGGGGTGGACGGAGGTAAGCGCCCAAGGTCAGCAAGTCCAGACACCTGGCAAATAGAAATCTCTAACATATCTCACAGGACAAGTCAGGAGACCTCGGATCGTTCCTTGGCAGTTCCGAGATCCCGCGTGGAGCCCTGGCTTCGGGACCAGGGCGCCGCCCAGACCGGTACGGACGCGGCCACTCGTCTCCCCGCCAGGGGAAGGCTCCACCGCTTGCTCTACCTCACCGGTAAACAGCGACTCCCCAAGCCTAAGGACGCCCGCCCGCCCCCAGCGCCGCGCACCATTTTCTGAAAGGAAGTGTCGGGAGGCCGGGCTCCCGCCGCTCTCGGCGCGGAGGGCGGACCCCGGCACCCGGACCGGGCTTTCTTCGCTTCCCGGTGGGTGGCGTGAGGGTGTAAAGGGGCGGATATTAAGGGGGCGCCGCGTGGGGTGAAGAGAGGCTACGACGGACAGCCCCTCTGCGACTCGGGGTGCCCTTGGAGGCGCCCGGAAGCCCCGTCGTCGAGTTCGGCCGGGGTTGCTCCTCCGGCGCCGGCGCCCCGCCCGGCTCCCTGGCCTCGGCGCGTTCCGCCGAGAGCCGAGAGGAAGACGGGCAACCACAGCCCGGAGCGGCCGCCGCGCCAACTAGCACTTACCCATCCATGGCCCAGATGGAGGAGCGCACAGTGCGGGGACTGACGGGCTCACCGCGAGCGGAAGGAGGAAGCGGAGGCAACAGGGCGGCTCCGAGAACCGGCAAGCAGCGCCTCTCCGCAACCCCGGCCGGTCGGAGGTGGGAGAGTGGGAAACAGGGGCGGGGACCGGGCACGCTCCCGCCACCGCCGCGCCCCCACCTTCCCCACCCCGCAAGCGCGTCCCCGCCTCATCTAACCCCGCCCTCTTAGCGTCGGCACCCTCCCTCGGGGCCCGCCCCTACGCTCGCGCCCACCCTGGGCCCCGCCCTCAGCCGACCTCAGGCTTGGCTCCAGGGCGCCCTCTTCCGCCGTCGCCCTTAGACTCCGCCTCCCGGCCCCTCTTCCCGGCGCACGCGCGCGCCCGCCCTTCCCGGGCTGACCCAGGGCCTCTCGTCTGCGTTCGCGGGAGCGCGCGCCTTGTGCTGTTGGCTGCACCGCCCCGCCTGCCGTCCAGCGGTCTTCGTAGTTCTTCCGGCTTCGCTGCCCTGGGCGGCTAACTTGGATATCTCCGTCTGTCGGTGGCAATAGCTTTGGGGACCCGATTTAGGAGAGTAGCTAGTCCGCGAGGACCCCAAAACCGCACCGGAAGCGCCTTGTGTGGGCGAGGGTGGCGGAAGCCTGGCTACAAGCACGACGCCTGCGGGCCAGGCGCTGGCGGTGGTCATCGGAGCCACCCGCCTTGCACCTCTAGGAAGCCGGGCAGCAGGGAACCCTAGCCTATGCGGGGCCCGCCCCGTCGCCTGCCCGGCGCTGGGAGTCGACCCCTGGAACCGGCACCCATCCCGACGGGTGTATTGGGAAAAGTGAATGAGGTGAAAATGACTCTCCGAACTTGAGTTTTTGGACAGTTTTAGTGTCTGGGTGTTTTTCTTTCCGACCGTGCAGTATTGAATTTATATGAAGCACTCACTGCACAAATATAGAATGGCCACTATATTGCCAGCATTTTCATTCTTCCCTGCAAAAAAAAAAAAAAAAAAACTTAAGAGGAAGGAACTATTACCCCATTTTTCAGATGATTTGTCCACAGTTTAGCAGCCGGGAAACATTTGCTACCAGAGCCTTTTCCTGTGTTGCGGATGTGTGCTGTGGAGTTGATTTCTACTCATTGCGACCCCATGTGACAGAGTAGAACTGCCCGGTAGGGTTTTCTAAGCTGTAATATTTACAGGAGCGGATCATCAAGTCTTTGTCCAGAAGCCGCTGGGTGAATTTAAACCACCAAGCTTTCATTTACAGCGGAGCATTTAACCGTTCCACCACCAGGGTTCCCTCCTTTTTCTCTAGTCTGAGCAAAAAATATAACTTGTGACAACTCTCTTCCCTTTTTCCCTTTTATATTCTGTCTAGTTCTGAAATTGAATGATTTTCAATTCTTAGCTTACCAAAACAAGAGCCACTAAACCCTGTCCTCAACAAAATTCTTAACCTCTGAGTAGAAAGAGGGGGTTTCCCACCTCCCTTAGATGCCTCATTGGAAAAGCAAGTAACAAAAACCTCAATAAGTTGTGCTACTAAAAAGATTTAAAGTGTGAATTCATCCATCATTCAGTCGATATTTATTGAGTGTCCACTATGTGCCAGGCACTGTGAAGAGACACAAGAAAATGAGGTTCCAGCCTTCAAGGATGAATGGATTCTTCAGTCAGTTTATCTCATCTTGTTGGCAGAAAATGATTTTCAAATAACGAGTATCTCATTTTTTTTAAGTCATTTGAAGTCCTTTTAAAATATCTAACCTCAGTCCCTGTTTCCAAAATGTCGGATACATTTTGTTTTGATGTTAAGTCCAAATATTAAGTTACAGTTGTAAACATTGCCACCCTGCATTGCCAGATGGATATTAAAAATATCAGCAAGATAGCTGATGCCGTCTTGCTATTGTTGTCTTTGGGATATATTCTGTTGATGATGTTTTCTTACTTTTTTTTTTTTTAGCTACACAAGTAATAGAAACATACATACTTATTTCAGAAAACTCAAGCAATATGAAATACTAAAAGGTTATAATTCTTTTTGTCATGAATCACCCCACCCATGATAACCACTGTAACAATTATGTATGCATATTTCTAGACTTTCTCATTTTTTACTTGTTTTTTCCACTAAACGTCCTGGAGATTTTTTTTCATGCCAGTACTTCTCATCTACTTAATTCTTTTTAATACTGCACAGTATTTCATAATTTCACGTGCCATTATTTATGTAACTATTTCCAAAGTAGTGGAAATTTACATTCTTTCCAATTATTCGATAAAACTAACACTGTTGCAAAGAATATCACATATGAACATCTCTGCACACATAAAACTGTCTGAGGAACAGATTCCTAGAAGTGTGGGAAAAACAGTATGCTCATCTTCAAATTTGATAAATATGGTCAAAATGACTTCCAAGAAAAGCTGTTCCAATTTACACTGACTTTCTTTGTTTAGAAAAACAAAGGTTATGTTTTTCTTTCAGCCCTATTCCTTAAGATAGCTAACAAACTTCAATACTAAAACGTAAACTCTGAAACTCACTGTCCATATTACTAATAATAACTACGAAAATTCCGCAATGTAAGGACAGTGCACTTGGCTAAGATTAACAAAACTGTATGACATGTCCCAAACATTATTAATGTCCAGCTTTACAACAGAAGCTCAGATACAAGAAAACAGCAATAGAAAACATGAAATCTTTCCTTTCCCCCTGCCCCTGGGTCCTGAATTCAATGGACTTTTCATGGATTGAGCTCCATAGATTTGTGAGTCTCTCTGATTCAAAAACAGTAAATAGAATGGAATTTAGCTCTTCTTGGACCATTTTTAGAATCCTAGCTATTCCCAGAGCCCACAGGGCATGGAAGAGCCATGGCCTTCTATGATCTCAGCAGAAGTTTCTGAGTTTCTGGCATGATCAGATATTACCCACATGACCTGGCTTGGCATGAGAGCTTTATGTGCTGCATACTGTGGCTTCTTGGTGGTGAGCAGGGGAACAATATCTCTATTTGTTTATTACACTATAGTTTGAGAAGGAGATCAATTACAAATAATTCAGTTTATAAATTTTCTAATATTTTATCTTCCTTGTGCCTTTATTCTAACTTGTCAAAAAAATTCTTGATACATGTTTATCTGATAAGAGATGCCCTCCCCCCTCCACACACACACCCAATGTTATGTTTGGACAAAACGTAACCTTTGAACACTTGCCATAAGGCAGTCTAGTACACAGTGCTTAGTTAACATTTAACCAACATTACCTTATTCAGAAGAGGACGTGCAACCAGGGATATCATTGCTGATGTCAGATGGATCCTGGCTGAAAGCAGAGAATACCAGAAAGATGTTTACCTGTGTTTTATTGACTATGCAAAGGCATTCCACTGTGTGGATCATAACAAATTATCGATAACATTGAGAAGAATGGGAATCTCAGAACGCTTAATTGTGCTCATGAGGAACCTGTACATAGATCAAGAGGCAGTCATTCAAACAGAACAAGGGGATAGCGCATGGTTTAAAGTTAGGAAAGGTATGCATCAGGGTTGTATCCTTTCACCATACCTATTCAATCTGTATGCTGAGCAAATAATCCAAGAAGCTGGACTATATGAAGAAGAACGGGGCTTCAGGATTGGCGGAAGACTCATTAACAACCTGTGTTATGCAGATGACACAACCTTGCTTGCTGAAAGTGAAGAGGACTTGAAGCACTTACTGATGAAGATCAAACACCACAGCCTTCAGTACGAATTACACCTCAACATAAAGAAAATAAAAATCCTCACAACTAGACCAATAAGAAACATCATGATAAATGGAGATTGAAGTTGTCAAGGATTTCATTTTACTTGAATCCACAATCAACACCCACGGAAGCAGCAGTCAAGAAATCAAAAGATGCATTGCATTGGGCAAATCTGCTGCAAAAGACATCTTTAAAGTGTTAAAAAGCAAAGATGTCACCTTGAAGACTAAGGTGTGCCTGACCCAAGCCATGACGTTTTCAGTTGCCTCATATGCATGCGAAAGCTGGAAGATGAATAAGGAAAACCAAAGAATTGACACCTGTGAATTGTGGTGTTGTCGAAGAATATTGAATATACCATAGACTGCCAAAAGAACCAACAGATCTGTCCTGGAAGATGTACAACGAGAATGCTCCTTAGAAGCAAGGATGACTAGACTACGTCTCACATACTTTGGACATGTTACCGGGAGGGATCAGTCCCTGAAGAAGGGCATCATGCTTGGTAAAGTAGAGGGTCAGCAAAAAAGAGAAAGACCCTTGGTAAGATGGACTGACACAGTAGCTGCAACAATGGGCTCAAGCATGGCGCAGGACCGGACAGTGTTTTGTTCTGTTGCACATAGGGTGGCTGTGAGTCAGAACTGACTTGATGGCACCTAACAACAACAACTTTATTCATTCTTACAGCTAAAACTTCTTAAAATATAAAGTAATACAAAGATGTCAATATAGTTCAGAAATAATGTTAGCCATTAGGTGAATCTGGGGAGGTGAACCTTTTAACATCATTTTACCCATGACAAATACAAAATCATAATCCCTAAAAAGAAAGATTTGAAATTATGCTGATAAAAAAAAATCCCAAAAGGTTATGTATTGTATGATTCCATTTATATAACATTCTCAAAATGACAAAATTATATAGATGTAGAACAGAGTAGTGGTTGCCAGAGACTAGGAAGAGGAGGAGCATGGCCTCCCCACTGTCCATTTTCCCTCTTATTCTAGCATATCATTTATTTTGATTGTTCATCTCTTTCGACTAAAATGTAAAATCCATGACCAAAAAAAAAGAAAAAACCAAACCCACTGCCATCGAGTTGATTCCAATTTATAGCGACCCTGTAGGGTTGACAGAAGCAGATGGAAGCAGACTGCCATATCTTTCTCCTGTGAAGCCTCTGGTGGTTTCAAACAGCCAAACGTTTGGTTAGCAGTCAATCACTTTAACCATTGTAACATCCATGAAGGCAGGGATGTTTATGTGTTTTGTTTGTTGATGTATCCTTAGCAACTAGAACAATGCTTAGCACACAGTGAGCGGTATTTTATTGAATGAATGAATAAAACTGGTTGTGCCTTGCAAAGAC